TTTAGTAATATAAATTGAGAATAATTTTGTTTTATAATTATTAATAATAATTTACCTACTATATATTTACCCTCCTACCAGCTAAAATAATTTTTTTTAAAACTATATTGTACCCGTTAAAAAAATATATTTTTTGGATAAAGATGGGCCCTAAAATCAATGGGCCCCAGGACCGTCCTCCCCCCCCCTTAATCCGAGCTTGTGGACAAGTATTACTATTTTTACCTCAGATTACAAAACTAAAACATAAGTAAGTGGCCGTGGCTGATTAATGATTAACATCTGATTACCTGCCTAGTTTAATCAATTAACATACCTACAGTGAATGAAATAAAAGAGCAAAAAAACTTTTAAAAAGAATTGCCAATGTTGATATTTCCAAAAAAAATAAAATTTTAAATTAACAATGATTGTACTGTCAGTCTATAAATTATTTTAGATTCTGGAGAGATGAATGTATTGATTATACTATGATGTGAGTTTTTTTTATAAATAATTTTTTAATTTTTTAATTTTTTGTATCTGTGTACACGATAAGTAGTCAAAATAATGGTTCGATTTTCAACTTCAGTATCTTGTTTGATGGGAAAGTGAATCTAGTTTATGCATAGGGGAGGTCAAAATTATATCAAATTATATGCAATTGTACTATAGTCACAACTATAGGCCTATATTTTTGGGGGTGTACAAATTGTAAAAAATTCCCAGACCCCCAGACCCTTAACACTGTATATATATATTAACAATAATTTCAAATGTATGCAGTTTATGTACTACATTTTAATATGAGTGAAACAGTAACAGATAAAAAATAAAATTATCATAACTATTTTAACATGATTTTACTCCCCACTAAATTATATTTATTTAAAATACTGCTAATTCAGACTTTAGGATGACGTGGTCTGCAATGCCAGGGCCTAGAGGCAATTGAATTTATCAGTATCGGTTAGGGTACTAGTTCTCCAAAAATATTATAACTGTTCCAGTTCGGTTCAGGTTTAAAAAAAAAAGGTATCGGTTCCAAATAATTTAGGTACCGAAAAGTATAATAATTTTAAATACCTATCCGGAATACGGGTTTAATCAATAGTAAGAGAAATATTAGAAAACTCATATAATCAATATGATCATATAATTCAATAACCATTAACTTAAGATAAATACAGTTATTTTATTTTTGAACCTAAAAGAACCTATTTAATTTAAAAATTCCGTTTCGGTTCCGGTACTTTATTTATTAAAATAAAGGAATCGGTTCCAGTTCCAGTTCTTAATATTTTGAAGGTTCCGGTTCTTTTAAGTTCGGTCACAGTGCCTGGGTCCATCTCTTCTCGCTCAATTGCCAAATCAATAATGCCATTACAATTATTTTTATTCAGTTAAAAATTGTTGAGCTCTGGATTATTTGGACTAGAAGTAAAACAGCTTAAAATTGGAAAATCTAGATAATCAGTTTCTTGTATTTTTTTGTTGTTTTTTCAGTAGGTACTATCTGAATGTTAATATATTATTACATTAAATGCACGTGTATTATTAAATTAGCATTGAGTATTCTATATACAATATAATATACTACCTACTCAATGATATTATATACACGTAGGTAATAGACAAATTGTAGCTATCTACTCCTAAGGATGGGTCTGGGCCTTCATATTCCAAAATCTGGAATTGCACATTTGTATCAACCTAGTGTCTTATACTCCACTCAAAATCTTGGCGTATATAACAGCTATATTTCGGTTTCCAGTTCACAAACCGTCAAATGAGTGAAATATATCGTCTAACGTCACAGCATTTTAATATTAATATCGCGGTTACATGGTTACATTTCAAAATAAAATTTTAAATCCTTATTTTTTTTTTGAGGGGCTATAGGAAAGTTAATTAAAATGGTGAAATTTCAGGGAGGGGGACTTGGAACTTGCCCCCCCTCCTGGGCCCTGAATACGGCGTCGATTATTTTCTTTGATAGTATTTTCCTGTGTAATATTTTCCTATGTAAAAGAAACTCTTGATTTCGAATTCTTGTGTATTATTTTCCCAAATATTATTCTCCTGATTTATATTTTCATTAATTTTGAATTCCTATTTCATAAGAATAATTATTCTCAAAATAATTTTCCTAAAATATATATTTGTTCGATATTTAATTTTACTAAGAAGTAGTTTCCAGCAAATATTAGTTCCCATCACAAAAGCTTTCCTGAATTTATTTGATCCTGACAAAAATTTTCCCGAAAATTACTCGCCACCATTTTTTTGAAATAGTTGATGTAAAATATTTTTTTTTAGAATTTATTTACTGAGATGTATGAAAATGAAATTACAGTTGAAAATTACAGCATTACAATACAGTACCTACAACAATGATATGGTTATATTTAAGTCAAATATTTAAAAATTATGTTTTTTTTTTATTTGAAAACAAACATAATAGGTTTATACAATATTTAATAAATGTATACACTAGGTAATATGGGGCGGGGGAGTACAAGTATACAAGACTAGACGGCATGACCAATGACCCTACTTCATAATTCTAAGTTAAGGAGGTCCCTGGGCCAATTTATATGAACTATTATATTAATTTATATTTCAAATTGTGAACTCATGTTCCCTCACACGAACATGTATCTACAGTGGGGCCCATTATCTTCTTGAAAAGTTAATAAAAATAATATATGTAAATTTTAAATTATACTTGATGTACAGATGTACTGTTTTGTCGTTGATGACAGGGGTAACGTCAAACGCAACATCTTGGTTTTAACAGGGGGAGTTTTTAGGGGAAGTGATGCGGGGGAAATTGACCCGAATAACTGATGAGTGATAACCTGTATCTTTCTTATAATATCTTTTTCATTTCTATACATAATATATACATATGATGTAGGTATTTTATTATACTGTCATAAAAAAAAGGCTAAAATCTAAAATTATAATTTGTTTATTTGATTATTATGGTTGACATTTTTATTAGAAATAAATGGAGTGTTAATGATAAAATAAAATTGTTCTTTAAATTAAGGGAAATAAGGGGAAAATAAAAGATCACTTTTACAAGGCTTGAAACCGTATGAAAAAATTTCGGTTTCGGTTTCGATTTTGTATATCGGTTTTTATTTTTTTCGATTTTGATTTAAATTTTTCAATAATTACCATTATTAGGAAATTACGGGTTTGATTTCAATTTCGGTTTTGGATTTAATACCAGTTTCCATTTTTTTTGGATTTAGTTTTCGGTTTCAGCTTTAAACGATTTATACTGGTTTCTAAAATCGGTTTTAAGGCCTGGACCATTTACTTTCATTCTCAGTTTATTATTTTTTTTCAATCGCCTGTTGTGTAAAGTAAACTTTCCAAAATGTCAAGATAGGTACAAAGATTTTCAAAAAAAATACCGTTTTTTAAATTATATTTTCGGTTTTGGTTTTTAATTATAATAAAGGTACCTATCTATTTTTTTTCGGTTTCGGTTTTGATTTTGTTTTCGGTTTCAGTAAGTTTATACCGGTTGCAAGCTATACACTTTTAATGGAGAGAAAAAGTAAACTGTAAATTAGAACGGGCTTAAAAGTTTTTTGTGACAATGAGTAAAAGGAAACTGAGAAAAAAAGGGGTGCTAAAATGTGTGTATCCAGGGCGCCATAATTGTGAATAAGCCTCTGGTTTTTACGCCCTATAAAGTCTGAGCTCCAGTATTTGTTATTTATTATCTATCTCAATTCTCAGTGGTTTTCATTTATTTTTATGTAAATATGTACCTATACCTACTACATAAGATAGATTTACGATTTAAGGCATAAGATATTTTGATACATAACACTAGGTACCGATATCGCGCGTAATTACTAATAAGTGAGTTAGCGGACCACAGCCTATCAATATTATTTATATTAATAAAACCCGTTAACAAATATAGAAAATGTTTTGATATTTTCAATGTAACCAATACATGGTCAATAATATAGCCATATCGGATATTGATCAATAATATTAATTATGTATGGGCCGTTTAATAACTAATAAGTGATCATTGTTCATTATTGTGTGTGACTGTCTACTGTGACAATACCTACGCTCAAATTGGATGGGGGCTTGGGGGGTAAGACCCCCCCCACCCACACACAACATAGCCGTAGCCCCCCAAAAAACTAGGACATACAATTTTAAGACACTGCCACACGCACCTACAAGTCACTACAGCCTTGCAAAATATTACAATAATATTATGTGCTTATTTATAGGTAGGTACTTTCTTCAATCCTACCGATGGACCTAATAATACAATATAATACTTATTGAAATCGTTAAATATGTCCACTTTAAGTCGGTCACTCGGTCAGACCACATTTTAAGTTTTTTATTTCAATTTCGCTTAATGAACATTTAAAATGTCATTATTATTTTTAAATGTGAAGGTAGGTATTCAAAATTTTAAACCAAATTTATAGGTAGAAGTTATGGCCCGATAGATCTCAATACCTAAATAAATTCAAAACAATTTTCAAAAATATAATCACATTAGTAGATCCGTCTGTATAATTGATCGAAGATTGATATCTACCTTCATTTTGGTTGAAATAACAGACTGTTTGCAATCTTTGATCTAAACATTTTATCTAGGATTACATTTTTTATTTGTAAGGACTGTATATACTGGAATAAAAAGTTTTAAACTTATAGCCGGTAGGTATAGTTCAAACTTCAAAGTATAATATTACATCGCTATTATCTGTTGACATTCACCCCGTGGCATCATTATAAATATTATCTACGATCTACCTCCACTGTTATCAACTTATTACTATCAGTATCGCTTGACATTATGTTTGGGTTTGGAAATTCAAAATGTTTATTGTTTACATTTCACTTAAAACATGACACATCTAAATCTTGAAATCATAAATTAATAACCAACTAGATTTTAATGAAATTTAATAAGAATAATTTTATTACTTACACGCACAATTAAACGTTGGGTGACTAGTAAAATGAAAGACCAGATGTTGCAGGTGAACATTATACCTGTGGAAGATAGTTTTGTGCATTTGTCTTCAAAGCTGATTCGTGAACTCAACGACCAGAGACACCACAGTCATACAGTACATCTTTTGAACAAATATTTTCTTTAGAAACTAATTTAGTACATTATTGTTGTTAAATAGGTTTGTCTTAAAGTAACGGCCATTGACGGTGTGCAACAGGAGTTTTATGCGTCTTATTGTCAAACTCCATGCAATTCAAATGGAGCTGATGCATTTAATATTAGCTATGAACTATCAACAACAATAGGACTTAATGCATCACAGTATGTGTTAATTTCATTAATTGATCAAGTTTGTCCATTAGAACGAGTCTTTGTTACCCCCGTCACTAATGCAGATTGGGACCTATTAGTAAGTAATAAACAGATAATAGTTTGTTGACTATCAAATTTGTGAAATAATATTTATCATTATACAACTAATATTATCAAATGTCTAATGATTAATGATATTTCTGATGATATTCCTAAAGAGTAAATAGAAATTATTCACATTCCTACCAAGTATACATTTTAAAGAAAACTGTATTTATAGGCAACTAAAACCAAAGTTTAACTTAAATTATTTGGTATTCTATTTTTTGTAAAAATAATGATATTATATAAAGGACGTTATACCCACATCTGTTGCCTGTCTTACTAACGCATAACATATAAGTATTACAATTTAAATGAGTTAGAAGTACCTGTGTATAATATTAATGTTTACAAATCCTATAATCCACTTGAAGTTTTAAATATTCCAATAAAATCAACAATGGAAACCGGATAATATTGTTATCCTTAAGTTTGATAATAGGTCAATTCACTCTAATATTTACACTAACAACACAGAATTGGAACTGCTGGATATACATTTTTGTATAATATGCATTAATAAGGTAGAGACAACACATGCAGATACAACATCCTCTTAATTGATATATTCAATTTCAACATTTAGGTTCTGGAATAAAATTTTCAACTGCCCCTCCCTTTCTTACCAAGTATTTGAGAGGTGTTTCTTTTTTACCCTATTGCAAATATGAAAAGTTTTTCGAGTTTTTTCTTAACAATTTTTAATTTTCAGTGTATAATCATAAGTTATGACTCTTACGCTCATCATATATATGAAAATTGCTTTGATAACATATTATTCACACTCATTCCAGCTACAATATAATAAATTGTAAACAACAGGTTCATAAAATTAAATTCAGGTGTTTTCAATTTTCAAATAAAATTAGGAAATACTTAGTGTATACTATATAAAAAAAAAAAACATATTGCACTTTATTAAGCGTTATGACCCGGATGAGACCACATCCTCTAATCCTTCTTAATTACTCCACTGCATTTATCAGTACATAATTTTAGTTTATTATTTAATGTCCATTTATATAAACATTAATTTAATGCAAACAAAATTTAAAAAATAGTTAACATTTTCAACCATCATAACATAATAATATGCACATAAGTATTTGAGTTATACAACATAGTATTAATTTCAGACATGCCCTTTAAAAACTTATTTATTATTTATTTTTCATAAAATAATATAATTCAAATTATATAGTATAAATATATGTTTAGATATATAGTTTTCTTTTAATATTATATAATAAATGATAAAATATGTAAATTATATTTTAAAAAAATATTGAAATGTCAAAATAAAATGTATCTACCTATTTATTTTTCAGATGCTCAATAATGTTTCACTTCAAGATAGAATTTTACAACAACTACAAATAGTTCATAAAAATCAAATTTTCCCAATATGGGTATCGAAGTTTGTACATTTAAAAATTTGTATAGGTAATAATATTTTCAAAGTTCATTAACATAACGTTTTAAGTAATATTGTACATTTATTTTTCAGATGATTTAGAAAACGGCTTACAAGTTGGATCATTAAAAGATTCTACTGAAATAGTTGTAAATCCCAATGTAATGTCTTCAGATAGAAATATTAACATCAATCAAAATGTAGATGATAGTGTTCAAACAGACGCAATAAATCAAAATTATTGTATTCCTATTACAAAATATCACAATCGTTTTATTTATCGCACAGTTTTAGTTGAAAAAACATTGTTAGAATCTGATTATATATATGATTATTGTGCTCTTGTTTCTAAAGCACATATGTCAATAATATATAAAAACAATGATGCCTATTCTACTAAGAATAGTTTTGTTAGAATATCACTTATTCATGAACTTGATAGAATGAAATCAGAAGACTCTCAAATTAAATCAAAAATTAAAAACTCATCTGTAATTGTACGTTTATGTCCATTAGACCCATTTATGAATAATATTGAGAAAATGGAAGTTATTACCTGGCCAACTATTTATGTTACCAATATCTTAAGCAAGATTTTGGGTTTAAAAATGAATTCAAAGGTAATATTGGAACCACTGAGCCAAATTGAAAATGAAATTTGTGATGTTCAGAATATTCTTATTTCACCATCAAACAATATTGTAAGTTCAAATTATTACTACAATTAAAAGTTTTTTATTATTTGTTATTTTTGATTTTAGAAAATAGTTGAGGAAGAAACACTTATCGAATGTACAATTAAGCGATTGAAAGATGAAATCACACTTCGAGATGTTTTGGTTTTAAATAATTCAACTTTACTACGAGTGGTATACAATAAAATATCAGCAATAGATGTATTAGTGACATTTTCTCCATCAAATATTCCTTTTGTCTTACTTAATGAATTTAATTTTGGAATGATCTCATTTACAAGTACAACTGATAAAAACCATCGCAATAATCATGTGAATTCAATAAAAACCACTGATCCTAAGCTATTATCAGAAATTCTGATATCCAACATTTCAAAGCCGGAACATTATGATTTAAAGTATGTTACAAAATCAAGTATACTCACTTTAATTTTATTATTATATTATTTTTAATTTTAGTACCTATATTTTTCTACTGCTTAATAATTAAAAATGTTTATTCAATTAACCCGTCGTTGGTATTGCTATGTAAAGTCCCGCCATTGGTATTGAGTAAGCGCTGCGCTCACCTTGTTGTTTTTCATCATTATTTATTATATAATGAACATAAAATATTGAAACCAACAACGAATTATTTATAGTTTAATCTTTTACAAAAAATGTTCTTACAATTTTTCTCGATTATAAATTGTTAACCACTAAAAATTAATTTATAATTTTTTATACATAATTATATAATAAGATAATCATTATCATTCATCTTCGCCTTAGTGGTCTGGAATATTTTGCTGATTATTATACAGTACACACATAGGCGCCAGGTTTCAAAAAACTTAATGGGTGCCTTGGTACCATTGGTATCATACTAACATAGGCATAATTGCATAAATACATAATTTTGGGGGAGGGGGCTTAGCCACTGGTCAAGACAAATTTCCCCGTAAAATTTAAAAAATAGAATTGTCTTTTCAGGTGGGGCTAGTTGCAATTTAACCCCCTAAAATTTTAATTTTGGCTCTCCAAATTTCGCCTATAGGTGTCATGATTCTACTACTTCACCAAAAACATTTGCATTTTCTTATGGATTTTTTTGGTGTATACAAATATTAAATTATAATATATACCATGTTGTACACTGAAATATGCGATCATCATTGATTATAAAATATATTAATTATACAACAAAATAAATGTATACCAAATTGGGAACTTATTTATAAATAATAATAATAAGTAAAACAAAAAATAAAATTAATTTAATTTGACTGTTCAGAAAATAAATATGCTTTGACGTACCTACCTATTATTATAATTGAATTTATAAATGAGTTAGCTCTTAGCTATCAATGTCTATATCTTCATTACGACGGACAAACAATAAAGCAAATATCGTTAAGACGATTTTGTTTCATTGTAGACCTTAAAAATGTTTTTAATCTTCGAAGTGCTGAAAAAGATCACAGCTAGAATTGTATTTCAATAGTCGTTTGCTAAAATTGTCAAAACTTGGATATAAATACACTCTATACATTTTCAATATTCTAATGGGTGCCCGGCACCCCATAATAATTTTAATGGGTGCTTGAGCCCCCGGGCACCCATGTACCTGGCGCCTATGAGTACACATATAAATGTTGGGTGCTACTTAAAAATAGGTCTGAGTTTACGAAAAAGTATTTGGTTGACCTATTGAGTGAGTGAAACGCTGAATTTATGGATATTAACAACATTGCATGTCGATATCTAATCAAGAATTATTTATACAATTTTTATATTTGCAAAAGTATACTTAAATATGTGTCGATTGAAGGTATAAATAGTATCAGATGAATCAAGTAATAAATAAACAAATGGCTCTCAAAATACTAACGAGGTGAGCGCCGAGCTCACATAGCGACCACTGACGGGTTAAGTAGAAGTTAAAGATATTTTAATATAAACAATTTTGTACAATTAATTATATAATGAAAAGTGGCTAAAACTCTTTATTATTGAAATATCAAATACAAGCTGTTACTTTTTATTTTATATTTAAAACATAATGTCTTGTGGATATCAATATCGACCTTATTAAAATTCTCAGAACTTCTATAACATACAATTTTTTAGACCCCGTTAACGTTTTCTGTTGCCTATAATTATGAGGATATAATCATATATTTGTATTATTATACTAGGGTTATAAACATATGTTTAGAACACCTTATATTCCCGTTGTATCCTTTCCTTTCCTTTGTTACACTTATATTAGTTTTTATTATTTAATTAAAATAATTAATAAAATATTAACAATTTGTTTGTAGATGTTTTAATCAAATGAATTATGCTGGATCTTTATGCTTGAAACCTGGCTTACAATGTTACACTACTTTACCTCAAACATTTTTTGCATTTGATAATTTATTGATAACTGGTAAATACAAATTAAAATACTATTAATCTGTAAGTTTTAATTAAAAATTTGTAATCTAGGATCGATTGCATCTGGAAAAACATCAGCAGCTAAACTATTTTGTGATAAACTTTCTAAGTGTCCATATTTTGTAAAAATTATTTGGATTAATGGGCGTTTCTTAGCAGGTTGTTATAACACATAAACCAATATTGTTATTTATAAGTTATTAAAACTGTTTAATATGTTTATAGGTAAATTGTGGGAAACAGTTCAAAAACAATTAAACAGCGATTTTCAAGAATGTTTGTATTATCAGCCTGCAATTATTGTTATAGATGATTTTGATGATTTATGTCATTTAAATTCTGAACCTAATGAGCATGCTGACATGTCTAAAATCTATCTACGGTATTAAATTCTTTTAAAACATTTTTAAGTTAAATATTTGATATTTTAATGAAAACCTTAATTATTTATAATAATTAGGTTAATATTATTTTAAAAGTTATTTCTTTTTAATATAACGTTTTTGTGAAATAAGTTGTTACACAAAATTATATTAATATACAATGTATTGTTATAGACCTCTGCATTTGTTAATGCGAATGATTGAAAATTACACTAATAATCAGTATCGTATAAGGGTTATTTGTACGGCTAAGCCATTAAATCAAGACAATGAAAATTTATTTTCAAAACAGTTTAAACATGTGTTTAGAACTGTGATACATGTACCATCAATTGACAAGGTATTAATTAAACCTGTATATAATAATGATATGATTACAATAACTATGTTATTAAACTATTAAACAATATTGAATGAAATTGGCAGGAAAACAGGAAAATAATTATATCAAAACGTCTCAAAAAAGTTAAATTTAATAATGATATTGATGATAACTTTTTAATGAGTATTTGTGATAAAATGGATAATTATGTAATTCAAGATCTTATTGATTATTGTGATAAAGTTTTGTTTGAAATCTTTAAGGGTAAATATAATTATAATTAACTGTATCTAAATTAGTTGTAAGAATATATTTATTTTAATAGGTGGATGTGATGCAACATTGAATAAAACTATTTTAACTGATGTTTTTGAAAAAACTGTTCCACTTTCATTACATAATGTAAAATTATTTAAAGAAAAAAATATTAATTTTTCACAAGTGGGTGGTCTAGAAAAAGCTAAACAATCAATTACGGAAACAATCATTTGGCCATCTTTAGTAAGTTTAAATGGTTTTCTCCTATTATTATCTTGAAGTAACTTTGTTTATTTTCTTGATTTTAGTATTCTGATGTTTTTAGTAAATGTCCTCTTAAACTTCAGTCAGGAGTTTTATTGTATGGTGCACCAGGTACAGGCAAAACGTTGTTGGCAAGAGCAATAGTTGGAGAGAGTAACTTAAATTTTATTTCAGTCAATGTAATTTTCTGGATATTTTTTTGGTTATAATTTGTTTATAAATTAATAATAAAAAAAATTGTTGATTATATTTTAGGGTCCTGAATTGCTATCCAAGTATGTTGGTGAAAGTGAAGAAAGCGTGAGAAAAGTATTTCAAAGGTAAATTATATTAAATACTTTTTTTAAATTGATGTGTTGGTAGATTGATTATAATCTAAAAGTTCAAAAATTAGTGCCTGAGCATATATTTTATACCCTGTATTTTATAAGAGTAATTTCGGGCAGCTGTTAACTGTTCTTCTGATTTGTCTAGATCACATTCCTTAATATATTGTTGATAACTTTTGTTTCCAATGATTGGGTATGGAATCGTTTAATCTAAATCTAGCAAAATGCAATTTAGTTAGTTTTTGAAATAATAATGTGAAGCTCTCAAGAGTGTGGCACTTAGTGTACGCTAGCAACTCTTATATAAGACACAGTATAGACTGGTCATGAGTCATGTTACTGATCTGCATACATAGTCTGTATTTGTTCTATGTATTTTAAATGTTTGATTTCGCATCAAATAAATAATAAAAGATGGATTACAAATTTGGTTTTTGTATGTAGTTAATTGTTTTTGTATATTTTAAGAAATATTTAATTTGCGATTACAAGTTAAAAAGTTAAAGGTTCAACAGTGTTGTCTTATGATGATTTTTATGTAGTGCATTATATATTATTTATATTTACCAATATGTACCATATTTTAATATTTATTTATAACCAGAATTATTTCTACTATGTAACTTAAATTTATCCAATAATATTTTTTTTGAAATAACAGTCCTTAAATTATATAAATATATTCTATATTTATATTTACTAATAATTTATGCTAGTTATAGTCTGTATCCTGAATGGTTAAATTTAACATTCATATCTATGTATTTAACTACTTATGTTTAGTTTTGTATTTAATATAATTTGCATACTATATTTATGTTAACAGAGCTCAAAACGCAAAACCATGTATTATATTCTTTGATGAGTTTGAAAGTATTGCACCCAAGTCAGTTTTGTTGATTATTATTGTTGATAATATAAATTGTTTTATATATTAATTTGTTCATTATTATTTTTACAAATATGCAATGGAATTTGTAGTCGAGGTTCAGATCAAACTGGAGTGACAGACAGAGTGGTTAACCAATTCTTAACCCAGTTAGATGGTGTTGACACATTTGAAGGCGTATGGGTGATTGCAGCCACTTCTCGCCCAGATCTTGTTGATCAGGCACTCTTAAGACCTGGTCGAATTGGGGTCAAATTACATTGTCCGATTCCAACAATGGTGAGGTTATTTTATATTTCATAAATCAATTTATATCCGAAACTGACTGTTTAATGATAATATGGAGTTCTGTACTTAAATGGAAAATTGTTGTTGAACCATAATCATTTATCTGCATTATTCATACAGAATTTTCCTAAATGTAATTTTCTTCTCTGTAAATGTAATCTTACTTGTTTCTGAATTAACTATAATAATAATACGGTAATTTTTGAATTTTTAAATAAAGTTAAACTATTATAGTGAAGTTCATAATAGAAGAAATGTATATTCATTTTTTTTCTAGAGTGATAGAGAAGATATATTACGAGTACTTTGTAACAAAGTTTCACTGTCTGAAGATGTCGATTTACATACTATTGCTACTGAAACAAACAACTATACTGGCGCAGACTTAAATGGACTGTTATACACGACACTTTTAATTGCAGAAAAAAAATTACTGAAAGGTACGCTGACGATATTCATTGATATTATACTGAGTGATTCTTTTATCATTGAACAATTAATATTTCAAAAAGTATAAACGTTTAATAACAAAAATTTTATTTTATTTATAATTTTTAAAAGCAACATTTTTAATAAGATATATAGTTTTTTAAATATTTTTTATCCTTGACATTTTTGAAGTTTTTTAATTTTTTGAATGACATAATACAGTTTTAATTTCATATTTCAAAGAAGAATAGTTTTTGAGTATTTTAATACATTAAATTGAATTTAAGATGAGTATCTTATGATTTATAACTATAAGTATTTAAAGTTTATATGAACGTGGAGTGGTACGCGGGGACCCTGCAAAATATTGGTCATTACTCCGTTCATCTAAACTTTAAATACTTATAACTCATAAGATAATCATTTTTTTTTTATATTTTTTTTTTTATTTATTCTTCAAGAAGATAATGGGCCCCACTGAACATGTTTGTGTTATTTAATTTTTATGTATCAAAATGCTCAGAAAAATATTCTGCTTTGAAATATCAAATATGAAATTAAAACTGTATGTTTTCATTCAAAAAAGTAAAAAATTAAAAAAATTATATAATTTTTAATAAATACGTTATTTTGTAATGACCTGAAACCATGTAAAAAATATATTTTCAAAAAAAATGAATACTTTTTGAATAATGATTGTTCTACGTTAAATAAATTACCTGGTAAATAATAAAATAATTTAATTTAAAAAAATTGCACTCTAATATTTGTTTGGTCTATAGACTTTATTTTATATAAGAACGCATTTGACGCATTCAAATGAATTGCGGAGTTGTTCGTACCCCTTAGCAGTGTCTAATTCATGACGAAAAAAACAGGCATGTCAATAAAATCGTTCTGCCCATATAGTGTGCTCCAGACATGGAAATAAACAAGTTCTTTAATCTTTATCAACACCCCAAAGTATTTAAGATGTAAATTATTGCTTATCCAAGTCTGGAGCACACACAGTTATATATACAACTAGTAGTCTAAACAGTACACAAGTGAGTAGTGATAGGAAATATATGCAAGTTTGCTGACATGCCTGTTTATTTATACTCTTTTCAGTTTAAGTTGACCCACTTGTCACACGAAAACTTGTCGCCGGCCTGTCTTTGGAGCTCTAGTGGTGATTGTCGCCAGTAGCAGCTGCCTACTACGACGAGCACTACCGATCACCGAACACCGCCGGTCGCCTACTCGGGGGGGTCTGAATGTTCTGGCGTCTCAGTATGAATGAGCGAAAGTATAGGTCAACTTAAACTGAATAGATTATAGTCATGATATAATAGTTCTGTGATGGATCAGCTGCAGTTATTACCGTTAGTTGGCTATAATCGTCCCCATTTGTAAAATTTCCAACTATATATTATATATGAATATTACTAAATTTACTTTCTTGTTTGTATTGTATTTACTACATCAATCTTATACATCTTTTTTTAGATTTAGAATTCTCTTAGGTAATGTTTTACAATTAGTCCTATTTAATACAACCATTATCCATAAAATCAATGATAGTATAAGTAATAATATATTTAAATATACCTATGCGAAAATATAATATAATCTAAGTGCAGGCAATAAAAAAACACATAACCACAGAAATGTATTAAATTACAACAAAAAATTAAACTATAAAGAAATATTTGTATAAAATTAATAATTATAGTATTTAATTTTATATTTTAGTTCAATATTAGTACAATATCTTATAACTTAATAATATTTTGCACATAAAATAATTCTGAGAATCGTGAATCTAGTATATTTTAATTATATATGTATAGAGTATTAAATATTCATATATAATGTTGATTAACCAATATTAATCAAAAAGACATATTGTGCTTACCAAAAAGCTAGAGAAAACTGTGGTGCTTGGGTTGGATAGGTTTACATTCTGAAAACAGATTTGAATTCGTCCTTATGAGGAATGTTTCAAATTTAACGTTCAAATTTGTTGTTCAAATATTGATAGATAAAACATATATTTTCATACTTGATACAACCAAGTAGAATGTAGATGCTTAACTATGAGCTATTTATTATACAAATAATTGGATGTTGAAAATTGCCACTAATAAAACTTAGGAAACATAACAATGAAGCTTTTATGTTTAAAACCTACCAACTCGGACTCCACATTATTGAATTGTTTTACATGTTTTTCTTGTCTAAACAAAAATATTTTACAAGTAACCTTGGATAAAAAAAATATTATCATTTGTTACATTGAATGTTTAAAATTTAAGAATATTCTTTTTAAATATTTGCTGTACCTATTCTAGGTATACACTATAGATACTTAATTTAATAAATGTCAAAATTGTTTATAAAATTATTTTTATATCATGTAATAGGTATTCCCTGGTTAGCTCTCTCTCTCTCTCTCTCTCTCTCTCTCTCTCTCTCTCTAATTTTTTTTCAGTTGACCTCCAGCTGTCCAGCGCCCAGGCGTCCCATCACAAACCTAGCTCCCAAAAAAAATTTTATTTGGCTTGCCACGTCGGAATTTTTTGGTAGGATTGCGTAGTATATATTATCCCATTCCGGAAAGAATAGGAAACTTTCGATAATCCCCCTTTGCTTTCCAATCTCCATCCCCTAGTTATAATCATTCATATTATAACAAATATTTAAAGTTGTGTACATATAGAGAATATTAGCCACTAAACATTCACACATTTATTCATTAAAAATGTAATTATTAAAATATGTCTTACCATAGGTAAGTAATAAATAAATCTTGTTAAAAACCAACTGGGGTAAAATCCTCCATTTTCCGACCTTGAATGGTAGGTAATTATTTATTACTTTTGTAAATTCTAGAAATTACTCTTTTATACTGTATTCAATTTTTGTTCTACAGATAGCGCTGCATGAAACTAAATGGTAACTTTTATCCGAAATAGAAAATACATAAAAAATAATTAAATTACGTTTCTTATGTAATATGTATGGACTATAGAACCAACTTATTCGCTTCTTCTTAATATTTAAACCTTTTTCACCAATCTGTGGGAACTGAGTATAAGTTTTATATTAACTGAATACCATGTAAGAAATTAAGAAGGCTGGAGCGTAATCAATTCTAAGGAGTAAAAACTAGGCATTTTATATTTCTGTTTATCTGGGTCTTGTGAATATGTTGAAAGTAAATGAACATTAGTGTGTGTAATTCGTAGTACTGATCACGTTTTATAGGGGCATCATAGTGATCGGACGTCTGTCATTTTACCTACGCTCATGCATATGTCACCATATATTGCTTTATACAATTACAAACATTTTTTTTTCAAAAAATACTGCCAGTGACTTCAATCACTACGCTCAGTAGGATGTTCTGATTTAAATTTTGAAAGAAGGTTTGAATTCTCCTCTAAATTTACTATGCTTTAATTGTGGTACATTTTTCATATTCTATATGAATGTATTTAAATTTGAATTATGAATATGGTATATTTTTACTCTTTTTGTTTGTAAATTTGTAAGTAAAAAAAATTAAAAATCAGAAAAATGAAATTGTCCAAGCATAGATAATTTAGTGACGAATTCAAATCTGCTTTCAAAATTAATATCGGAATATTATATTGGGCGTAGTGATTGAAGTCGTGAGCTATGTTTTCGACCGAAAATAAATCACTCCCAGCCCCCTTATAAGCTTCAAATTAATATCATTGTAGGTACCTAATAAATGTAGGTACATATTTATTTTATATGTTTAAGCGGGAAAAAATACTTTTATTGGTATGATAAAATATTTCAAATCGGGTGGATACGGACTATAAAATTAAGTAATAAATAATAGTTAATTTAGTAAATATTTTAGATTCTGAGTGAAACGATGAATGTATTGATTTTACAATGATGTGTTTTTTTTTTATAGTTTGTACACGATAAGTAGTCGAAATAATGCTTCGATTTACAACTTCAATATCTTGTTCGATGGGGAAGTGAATATTGTTAGTGCATTGGGGAGATCAACATAACCACGAAAACCACATAAAAATTAAGGAAAAACGTTAATTTTTACGCAAAATCGATTTTGGTTGTTGGTGTAACTCTAAAACGTTACGTGTATACATGCAATTTTCAACGGTTGTTTATATTTGAATTTTATATACATGATACAATTTTCAAAATATTTTGATTTGTTTTGAACTGTTAAGGAATATTTTAAGTTTCCAATTTTATTAGTCTTTTAGATTCTGAGTGAAACGATGAATGCATTGATTTTACAATGATGTGTGTTTTTTTTATGTTTTTTTATTTAAAAGCATGACAATTTAATGCAAGGCTTCTGATATATTGTAACAATAGCAGTTGAACAATTATTAAAAATACATAGGCACAATTTTTTTTTATAAGCATTCAATTGACAAAATTTATCATTTTTAAATTTAATAATTATTTTGTAGTTAAACATTTATAAAATGTTCAACTTTTATAGCTAAGGATTGAAAATTTAGAACAAGATTCCACGTAAATAGGTTATATATATATATATATTACTTTTTTCACAATCATATCATCAAATATACTTAGTAATATCATAGGCTGACTGACCGTTTTCGCTCAGAATCGTTTTTCTTATACAATGATGTCAATGTTTAACACCATCCATTACAGTGATCCACTTGTAACCTACTGTACAGCAGAGCGACATCCACTTACCAACCTTTTTTTCATTGTTATTATTACATTTAATCTGTTTGATACTTTCATATTGTAAGTCTCATCAACTATTATGTTAAAGTTTTACGGGAAAATCAATTAAATGCTTTATAATTCTATTTGAATATGATAATAAACTATTACTATCGTTATAACTTTATGCAGTTTGACAGACGACAGTAAAATCAGTTCCATAATACTATTTATCAGCTTCCATTCAATATATTATTTGTGAACTTATTATTTTGTATAAAAGAGGGTTCTAACAAACGTCATTTTACTTTTTTGACACCGGAATCTGATACGAGGCATTTTCTTTAGTATTTTAATGGTATCCTTCGTGTTTGTCGAATAATATGAAAATGTTTGACTTGTCACAAGTAAAAAAAAAAGAAACATTTACATAAAATATACATTTAGAGATAATTTTATCGGACTATCTGAGGACAGAGACCAATAGAAGTTTGTGTTAGGTACTTTTCATTCATACTCACATTTCAATCTAAAGTGCTTAATATAGAATACCTATATATTTCTTATTGTCGAAGTACATTATTATTGTTATAAATTAAACTGTTATTTATCAATTACTGTGTTTAATATTTTGGTATTATCCCTAATAGCCAAAAGACTACATTTAATTTAATTAACTTTTTATTATACATAGTTATAATAAAAATATAACAGATATACGGATAGTGTTCTTACTTTTAAGTTTGGTTTTAGGACAATTTACTATAATATTAAACCTTATTAAACTAAATTAGAACTGTTGAACACAAAATGTGTGATATGATGTAAATTCGTAAGACGGAGACACAACACATGCAGGTGTATCGTCCTCTTAAAACAATTTTCTTTAATTTGTATATTGTTATTATTATTTACTAAAATATCTGTATACATTACAGGTGATTTTAAATATTTGGAATTTTATAACTTATAAGTTTTAATGTATAACCATGGTTATTGACAATTGACTTAAATATACTATTTATTTTTCAGATCAAGACAGTGCATCGTCTTTGGATGTGAGTATTATAATATGAGTACCTACCTATAATGAGGACGCCCACATTTTTTGTATCTGTCTTACAAGTGCGCACCGTATAGCAAATGAACGTTCAGAACTTCGTTCAAAACTTTTAGTTTCGTTAGCTTAACATAAGTTCGAATTTACGTATAATCAAACTTAACGTTATGATCATTAACTGGCATCTGTCTGTTTTTTCCTATATTTTAATTTTAAAATCGTGAAATGCTGGGCGTAAACTGTCCATGCTCCGTACCTTTTTTTAACATGTTGGCACCGTTATATAGGAACACTGAACAAGGCTTGGCCCTTCACGTTCCTTACCTACTTGTAAGACCGAGACAACAAATTCAGATGTGGCGGCTTCTTAAGAGGACGTGGCACCCTCATTTGTTGTCTCCGTCTCACCAGCGCGAAAGGAACATAGAAAATTTTACTTAGCAGATCACGTTTAGCTCAGGTTATAGTTTACAATTTAGAGTGAATTGACCTCTTATAAAATGTATAGGTAAGATTATATTATCCAGGCAATCGCATAGGCTTTTATTATATTTTAATTTCAAAGCGAGTTATAAGTATTTTAAATTTGTAAATTGTTTGTACATATTAATATACTCATAACTCGTTTTAAATTAAAATATAATAAAAAGCATATGAGATTGCTTATATAATAATCTTATCTTTAAATTTTATTAGAGTTCAATTCACTCTAAATTTTAAGCCAACAGAGCTAAAAGTGATTTTCTGAGCGTAAAATTTGCAACTTTACGAACTTGTAAGACGGACAATACGTCCTTTTAACCCTTTCAGTCCCTATGTCCTTCCCAGGGGACATACTTTATTTAGCTTATTCTTATCTATTGTAATCAATTTTACACATAGAACAGTGTAGCTATTAGCTAACAACCAAATTTTCATATTTTTGTTTTACAGAACAAAGAAAAAAATTTTTTTGTTATTACCAATATCTTTCTGATAAAATTAAAAACAAAAAACAATTATTATTGCAGAAAATTTATCTTGATAGGATTCTAAGGAAAATCGCTTTTACTAAAATTGGCTTTCTCTATCCGTTTAAATCCTGGTCTAAAAGAGCATTATAACTATAGCGCACACACAATATGTTCATGCAATTTTTATTAATACTAATACGGTATGTGATATTGAGATAATAGGTACTAAATGTCTAAGTATAAGAATATCTAAAGGACCGTTTTCCATCAATAAAAATACACAGATATGTTTATAATTTAACTTTTTCGAACTAAGCTATTGAACTCTGAAGCTTCGAGGTACTTATAATATATTTTGGATTTAAAACCCATATTATTCAAAAACTGTTAGTACTAAGTCTCTAGTTTTTAAGTTTTATATTGCATCCCACATATCAACTCCATAATTTATACTACACCCAGTATCCCAAGTGGTACATTTTATTAGTAAATAGTATTATATTATTATTATAGGTATTAGTTATATACTTATATAGGTATTGTATATTCAACGAATATTATTATTATCATTGATACGTCTTATAAACGTTACGTTTTTTTATTGGTCTTCTATTGGTGTGCTGGTATTTCGGTATTTAGTTTATACTGGTACCTAGGTATATATTATATAGATAGTGCTTACTGTTTAGTACTCTTTTAATCAGACCTTGAAACCGAAAATATATTTCCCGATTTCGGTTTCGGATATCGGTATTTATTTTTTCCGATTTTGATTTCGGTTTCGGATATCGGTATTTATTTTTTCTGATTTCGTTTTTGGTTTTGAATTTTTCGGATTTCGATTTCGGTTTTGATTACCGGTATTGGTTTTTTTCGATTTTGTTTTCGGTTTCGGTATCGATTTGGGTTTTTAACGGTCCAAACCGGTAAAACCGGTAAAATCGGTATCAAATATCGGTTTCAAGCCCTGTTTTTAATTGTTGATTTACTTATAATATAATTTATACATTCTTTTTGGTCATTCGAATAACCCTCTGCAGTGTAACCGTTGAATATCGCACATCTGTTATACCACCTAATGTTACCGTTTTAATACATAATAAATACAAAGGTATTACTGGTACACCTGCCATAATTATTATTTTATCTTATTATTTAATATAATTTATGTCAGCAACAGTTTTCAACAAAATTTAAATTATCGCTTTCAAGAATCATCTTTCGACGGAGCATCATAAACGTCTCGATGTGCTAGGCTGTTTTCCCATTCAGTTATGCTTTACCTAGTACTTCACCCGTCTGTTCGATCGCACAGGAACAAGTCCGGAGCCGTTCCACCCGCGATAGATAATAATATTATTATATTATCCACATAATCGTATTATAAGTCTGCGATATCGGCGTAATGGTGTCGAACGCGGGTCGCTTATATAACAGCATGTGGAATATAATATATCTATATTATTAAACCAAGTAAACAAATGAGGCAATCAAGTGGGGTATTATCTGCGAACATGGCGTATAATATACAACAACAGTGCATAAAAGAATTGTGCCGCCGCCGCCCCCAATTCGGATTCGGCAAGCAAATAAAAATAAGATAACACGACGTGTGTGCGTGTGTACGCGCAACGCGCGTGCTCTTTGGGGGAGTCTTCTTTATATTTATTTTTTTATTATTATTTTTATTATTTGAATTATTCATTTGCGGCTCGCATGTGTATGCGCGACGGTTAATAACAACTCTATTATCTCACCCCAAAAAATCCGTCCTCCCGTCGCCGTATTATACAAAACAAATATTATATATAATAATATATAAAAAGATCCACATTTTATTGTTGGAAAATTTGAAGTCTGTTCGATCGATGTACCAACAAATGTATATACCTAAGTAGTAGGTATAATTGTTTTTTATAAAGTCAATGGTGATATTGAGTGCCGTGGTAACGAATAGCGTATTGCGTGTACCAGTGTATTAGTTGCCCTCAATCAAATGTACCAATTACTCTCATATATTATGTACACTATTAAAATAACAACCCTTAGAATAAGGAAGGCAAATATGTAAATAAATTAAAATAATAAAATAATTAATATATTTATAGTTATAATGAGTGACATACATTATAATTTGTCAAAAAAAAAATATATAACATGATCGAAAAATGTTAATTTTTGTAATTATATGTATATTAAATATACCTATTCAATTTTTTTATTATCATTTTATAATATTTTTTGACAAATTATATTGTAAGCCTCATATAATTATTATATAACTATTATATTAATTATTTAACTACATGGAATTTTTTATTTTCGTTTATTATATTCATATTATTTTATTAGTTATTATTACAAAATAAAATTCATTCATATTATATTATATAATTTTATACTATTTTTATTATATATGTATTTTTTACATATTATACCATTTATTATATACATATTTACTACCCTATTTTATGGGTTGGTATTGTACTATTATAATATTGTATATAATAATATGTGAGGCCGTGAGGGCAATTGGTACATAATATAGTTAAGGGAAATTGGTATATTTTTAAAATGTTTAATATGTGTTTAATGGTTATGTCATACATTTATTATGTTTATGTATATATTAGTCGGTATACGGAGGTACGGAACCGATCCACTTGGCACTTATACACAAATGACAAATATATAAACTAAGCACCACTTAATTTTATTAGCTCACACGAAATACGAAAAAAAGTACAAAGTAGCTACAGATAGCGGTGGTAGTTGTATACTTGGTTATGTTACATAATATTATTACAACCACCACAGAAACAATAATATTGATATATATTGTTATATGTCCACCGAGACATTTTCAACAACAAAAATATATATGTATACTACTCGTATAGTATTATTCATTTTGCATATTATTTTTACAATGATTTAAAAGTGTTCTTAATAATTATTGTAAATTAGGAAACTATAATAGGTACTTTCATTATGATAATGTATAATATTTTTGTTTTTATATAATAATATGAAAATCCATATATTATAATCATATGGGTGGTTTGTCCTCGAGTAGCTGCTTGGTTGATTTTACGCAACAAAATCCAGTGTCTTAAACACGGGGGAGGGGACTCCCATGTTTTTTTTTACTATATACGTATACGTATTGATGTAATATAAAATGAATACAATTTAAAAATTATATACACATATAAAAATTATGTATAAATATATTACTATACCTACATATTATATATTATGTATACATTTTTAATGTAGCCCCTCCCAATGAAAATATCTGTGTACGCCGCACTGCTTCAATCCATCTTCGAAAATAGCCCTTGGAAAATAATAATAGCCAACCGCTGGAGAAATTATGTGGGTTACCGGTCATCAAAAAAAAAAAATGCTTTCGAATAGCCAGTTCTAAAGTAAAAATATAAAATTGCGCCTTTCAGATTTACCTTTGAACAATTCAATTGTATTTGTATTCGCTCGGATACCGGTGGTCCCTGAGTCGTGCGGTCTCGGATCGTGTGTTTGGTATTATATTATACATAGTTTGCTTTCCTGCTTTTGGCGCTGAACTGGGATTGTTGTTTGTTTCATTTTGAATACGACGCGTATCTATTAATCCTACGCTTATTTCCGTTTATTTTTAAGTAAATCAGTGGAGTCCTCATTATTTACATAAAAAGAAAAAAGAAATAATTAATAATAATGATAAAAAAATAAAATAAAATACACAAATATATATTTTGTACCGCCTCGACCGGTGACAGTGTAGCGGCTGCGAGACCAATTCTGTTTCCAGAATCGAAACCCAACGCAAACAATACTTTACGAAAGTAAAGAAGTCATTATCACGAACCTGTCCCTGTGTGGTACGCCAGTCCTCAAAAGGATGGATGGTGCGGCGGTAGACGCCGATTCAATGGCTTTCCAATGTCCCGCAGCAATTAAATAATCCCGTTCTATTCTTGTCCATCTGTGTGGGTGTGTGGGTGTGCGTGTGTGCGTGCTCGCCACGCTGTGTCGCCGACGTGCTTTTAACGAGCACCACTTTGTTTATATTTGCTCGATAAACATCGATTAAAAATACCAAAATTCAATCACTTCTGAGTTTAAATAACCACGATGTTTATGGGTAAAATTTTTTTTAGTCAAAACGCCTTGTATTGTCGCTATTTCCGAGTCTTTGAACAGATTTTTTCCCGTTTTATTTTTAATCACTCGATAATCCATGCGTTCTGTTTGGAAAGTTGCTGTATTCTTTTTGTAAACGTAAATACAATATGCTCAGTAATTATACCGTAGTTGTTGTATTATGTGCTACCAATGACATGTTCCAACTCGTACCTAAATCCCAGTGATGCAATCAGTTAGTTTTTTTTTGGGGGGGGGGAGGGGGTGAGTGAAAGGATGTGACCCTAGAATGTTTTTCTTTAATTCAAATTATCGATAGATGTACAATACAATGTCACAATGGTATCTACTCTAGTACTCTCTGACATCTGAGTATTTTGACACGATTTACGATTATACATACGGTTGGATATTATTTGACCTATTATCTGTATGGCTGACGCCTCACCATCGTGTATATCGTGTATTTTAATATTGATATAGGTACCCAAGTTAGGATCTGATATTTTATGTTCGAAAAATGTTAAAATATGATGCTATTATGCTAATATCCCTTAAAAATGAGAAAAAATATGCAAAAATAATAAATGTATAACAAAATATGTCGGTGCACTAATTGTCTCTCTTTGTTCCACACATAACACAGATAAATATACAATAAAAGCATTCACGCCCAGTTATTATTTTTTTATGTTTTAGACTAATCTTATAGAGTAAAATTGCCCATTAAAAAAATGAGAATAATATTATTGAGGGTATGACAAATCGATTTGTCTAAATATTATTATCTCAAAACACTTTATAACTTATTTAAGTGTATAACCCATGACTAAATAAACAGGCATGTCAGCAAACTCATGTATTTTTCTTCTCACTGCGCATGTGTGCTGTGTAGATAATATATAAAATTATTAGTTGTATATCTATGTGTGCCCAGACTTAGAATAAACGATAATTTACATCCCAAATACATTGAGGTGTTGATAAAGAACTCGTTTATTCTATGTCTGGGGCCGACTATATGCGCACAACGATTTTGCTGACATGCCTGATTATTTAGTAATGGTATAACCTCCAATATTATTTTTTAAAATCTAATATGAAGTTAAATAATAATACAATATAAACGTGTCAAACCTAAAAAAAATATATTATCCTCTATAGTTGTCGTAATAGGTAATTCTACTAGTTTACTCAAAAATCATAAAAAAACGATTTATGTGAGTGTGTTCTAACTATATTGCACATGGGTCTGAGAGAAAAAAAAACATTATGCTGACATTTATACTTATGCAATTATGCAAATTTAAAAATTTGTTTTTTAATGAATTAGTACAATTAATGTTACTTACATAAAAAAGTTTTCATACAAAATCACAATTCAAAAAATTATAGTTTATTGGTATATTATAATAAAAAAAAATTGTGTAGGTACCTACCTCAAAATTAAATTTGATACCTAATAAAAATTATAATATATATTTCATTGATATTCCAAAGATGACACTAAACATTTTGATCAACACTTAAAATAAACTAAAGAAATTCAAATATATCTATAAAATATAGATTTCAATTAAGTATTTTGAAAATGTCCTTGATTATAAACAATAATAGTTTATGTAACAGTAGAATATGTCTAAAGTATCTAAACATTCCAAACTATTAAAACTTTTTGAGTTAAAACAAAAAAAATCGTTTTATGAGGAATCGTTAGTTTAGGTACGCATGAATATCAAATTTTCTCAAAATTTAAATTTCAGATGAAAATATTTTCATGTTCATACACTCTATTTTTTATATGCTAGTTGGGAAAAATTAAATATAAACTTTTATTCATTTGATTTTCAAACTTTTTACTAAAAACAGACACTATATGTATATATAGAGTCAATAATAGAGTCAAAATATTTTGAAAATTATTCATGCATTTAATGCATAAATATTCATTTTTGTACAATGGGCTGTTTAAAATTACACGTATTTTTTATACGTTTTATACAAATAAGCAGTGGTAAATTACACATACTTCAAAATGTTCTATTTTAATTTTTATATACGTGTTAAATCTTCAAAAAAAGACATATCCCAAATGTTTATGTCGTGTCAATTGCCTAAATATTACTCCTTAAAACATGATATGCTGGAGCCCCCTTAAATGAATAACCATGTATGTTTAGTGTTTATGACTCCTGGTGTAGTAACTGGTGAATAGGTATTCTTGCCTCTTGCGTTCAACGTTTGATTTAATGTATTATTTAATTTTTTACAGCCTGAAGGCGGCTGTCAGCTAAGGATTACAAACGACGATTTTCGGGATGCCCTAAAATCAACTAAACCGTCGTTGCATCAATCCGATATCGACCGTTACGCAGAGATGTAAGTAATCGTATAAATATAATATGGTTTTATCATAGAAACAAATCTATTTTCAACTATTTTCAGACACAGGGTATTTTCTGGAAAAAGAATTTATGGCGGAGGTATTGCTGAAGTCAATAACGAGAATAGAAGACAACAGAAAACGACATTCGCCTGATTCCTTCAATTATTTACTATAACAAAAATGTATCTCTATATTTTCTTACCTCGGGGTGATCTTGTTTTATACTAAAAAATTATAAATATTTGCATGTTCTCTGATTGGTGTTAAAATGTGTTTGCACTTGTTGGACTCTCGTAGTCTAGGTATTCATATGCAGTTGATAAAATGAGTAAAAGACTCCAAATGCCCGTATAGTCATGCAATGCAAAAAGTCCAAGTACAGGTACTCAAACAAATTCTTACCAAAAAAAAAAAAAAAAATGTTATTTATATAATGTACACCGGTGCCTGGCCTCCCCTCTAAATGTGTCAAAAATTGGCCGCCCGTGGCAAATGTCCCCGTTGCCCCCCCCCTTAAATACGGCACTGATTAAATTATATATGAAATGTTTATATGAAATTAACTGGAAATCAATATTTACCACCTATCTGGTTACCCATTTAATAATGATTTTATGTTAACAACAAGTGTGGAGAATACTCGCTATAAACAGATTAAAATACAACATAATCATGTGAATTATTTATTAAATATACGTTATAATGAAAAACATGAGGTCATGACAATTACAATTCTAAAGTGTGTGTGTGTATTGTCACTGCATCTTGGCATCTTGGCCCTCGACACTTACACACAATATCAAAGCGCAGTGTTCCCACAACATGCCCCTTCTTTTTTTTTTTCACAAAAAACAAATAATGTAAAAATACATAATTATTAAACTATTAATTAATTAATCAAATAAAACAATTTAATAATACTTATTATTAAAGATATAATTTAAAAATCTTTTTGGTTTTACAATATTTCTAGCAAACCTGTCTGTGCCTGTAAATTAGTTTCAATAGACTTTTCTAAGTAAGTTTTATTAGTACTGTCTTTCAAATCACCTTTAGGTTTATCTTGAAATTTCAATGCCGACTGCTACGGAATAAACCTTCTATTTCTTTTATAGATTTTATCATGATCAGCTTTAATTTCATATGATTTTGGTTGATCACAGACATTAATTATTTTCCCATTACTCAATGTACTGTAGGTTAAATTTTAAATTATATTTCATCATTCACTTTTAGTTGGGATTATGCTTAGTATTTTTATTATAATAAGACAACATTATCAGTTTTAGTGGACATTTGCTTATTGTAATTTTCTACTTCAACTAACTTTAGTTTAAGCCCAGGAAATGACAGGAATTTTAGGTCTAAGGTTTCTAGACAATAGTAGCTGTGCAGGAAAGCATAAACTATTATTCTCAGTGTTATGATACTGTAGTATCAGGCTACTAGTATATTACAATACTGCATTAGTGCAATATATGGGTCTGTATTTGTATCTGAGTATTTTTTAAGTAACTTTTTCATTATTTGTACATATCTTTCTGGCTTCTGCTAACCCATCAGACTTTGGATAATTTGGGCTAGAAGAGACATGATTTATACCCCAATCCTGTGATTTGGATTGAACTAAACACCGATTAAGGTTTATAAAGTATTATATATTTTATAATTAAACACGACATAACAAATTAAAAAGAAACATTTAAGTATTAAAATTGTACATGTTTTAGAGAAAGGTTAACAACAATAAGTGAGAACAACAGTAGTGATGAGTGATAACGATATTATGATAACACTCCCACTTAATTATATAAGCATTAGTTTCACATAGTATATAATATAATTAAATAATCACATAGTAATCTTATTTTAAATCTATAGTCAGTGCTTGAATTGGAAAAAAAATAGAAGGGGGATGCAAAAGTATAAAAGATATGTGCGTCCCCGAACATTTAAATGTCTTACTGTTAAGTGGTAGCATATGTCCCCCTCCCGCTACAATGACATTTTACACCATACAGCAATAAACCTAACCTAACCCTGATACTATCATAGATATATAATATAGTGTACTTAAGAAGTTTCAAGTACCCACGAATAGTATTATACGCTCACAACAAAATAACTAAAATAGGTATGCTAGGTTTTTCAATATGTAATTTCGTCCCAAATTTGAACTTAAAATGACCATAAAAATAAACTGTGCTTGTGTATTTTTTAGATTTTTTGGTAATAGAATTAACTACTTACGTGGAATCTTGTTTTAAATTTTCAATCCTTAGCTATAAAAACTGAACATTTTATAATTTATTAATTACGATGATTGATAATTTTCGAGATTTTGATAAATTTAGTCAAAATGCGATCTTTAAATGCTTATAGATAAAAATTGTGCCTATGTATTTTTAATATTTTTCAATTGCTATTGTAACAATATATCAGGAGCATTGTATTAATTTTTTACACTTTTTGGCCCAACAGATAAAACTTTATTGATATTTATAGAAAAAAAAAACTAAAAAAATTGAAAACTAAAAAGGTCCGTAAACGGCTCAAAAAGAGTCAAAATATTTTCAAAATTGTATGGTGTATAGGAAATGCTAGTATAAACATTCAGTGAAATTTTCATGTATCTACAGTAATTCGTTTTTGAATTACAACAAAATAAGGAAATCGCCACATGAGAAATCGAGTGAATATCCAATGTTGTAAAAATTTGAATTTCAAACGCTCATAAAAGTTTAATTTGACTTTCTTATAGAATTTTTTTTATTTAGTTAGCCTATAGTTCTTCCTTCAGAACTTTGAAACTTTTTCTTGCTAGTTCTTTGGTCATTATATCAGGAACCTGATTTGAAGTTGACATCATTAAGTCTGCCGCTTACAAAATAAACTTTGATGCTATTGTTAGATAATGTCTCAATTGCAGTAACCACTATGCCATAAGCAGTAAACATGCTAAAAAATCTTCTTCAATTTTTCCTCCTTCTGATTTTAATTTACGAAGTAAGTCATCAAATTTAATTAAGTGATTTTTCTATTACACAAGTGAGCTAGGTATTTCAATAAATTTTGAATGGTAATAGTTTTATCGTTATGGTGAAACAAATCTATACCAAGTTTTTGCCAAGGTAAGTCTGTTATAGCATCATTGGTTCTTTAGAATTGTTGGTGAGATACTTCAGGCACACCTCACAACTTTCTACAATATTTTTAATATTATTAATTATACCTGGCCAGAATAATACGTCTTTTATTTGATATATACAACGTTCAATGCCCATATTATAACCTTCATGAATAAGCTTTAACATGTTAAACCTAAGATTATAGTAGGGACTATTAGACTATTACTTTTGAAGACTAAGTCAGCAATAACATGAATTTCATCTTTGAAAGTCCAAAAAGTTTTGAGAGAATTTTCAAGAAGAGACTTCTACGGCTTCTACGATTGTTCTGTTATCACGCTCGACTTTCCCCTTCTGTTCCTGTGTATATGCTACAGTTGTAGTTTGGTGTCGTATGCCATATTTCTGTAGAATACCTGTAATATCCTTGTTTACGAATTCTAACTCATTATCCGTCGTTAATATTTTGACCTTAGATCCTGTTTCTGTTTTAACACTTTTTATAAATGTTTGCATTGGTTCATAACTTGTAAACCATTCTAGGTTCGCGGTCATATGATGCATGTGTGCATGGTATGACGCACCTGAGTCTAAAACTCACGTATCTGTTGTAGTATTATTTATCCTTGACTCGCTTACAAATGCATTTAAATTTGTATTGGTAGTACCGGGTTTTCCACCTTTCATACTACGTAGGTAATTCCTACATTCTTGTTTATAATGTCCAATTTTACCATAGTAATAACTAATAACATTTAACATTATTTTTTATTAGTAAATTCTTTTTTTACCTTTACCGTTTCTGCTATCAGATCTATTTTGAAATTTGGCTGGAAATGCACTCGACTTCTCTTGTTCACCAACTCTACGAAAAACTTACGTTATTATAATAATATTATATATTATGTGTTTATGATGCGAGTGTCGGAGGTATTGCAGCGGCTGCATCGTCGCGGGAGGTGTCGTCACCATATACTCACTTGCCCCCTCGCCGCAGCAGAGACCGGCCGACCGAGAGAGCCGTTCAATCACCAGCGCATTTCACGTCCAATTAAGTTGCCGCTGCGGTGGACTCGGAGGTGGCAGTGGTGGTGGACCCGTCGACGACTCGCCGCGGGCGTACCGCCGACGCCCGCCCGCGCGTTATAATTTTCCGCCACTTTGCGCTAATCGCTCCGCCAGCGCAACCACCCGCCGCCCCGCGAGCGATCAGAGTGTACAAGACTAGTATAGTACGCCGCACAAAATATCGTATCATAATGCAAGGGCACAAAACACCGCTCGGGATATTCCATTTTGCCATTTTTAAATTGCTATATATTATTATTATTACTATATAACTCACTCTGGTCGTCGTTGTCACCGCCGCCGTCTTTGATGCAGTTTTATTTATTTATTATTATTTTTTTCATACCAAGCAACCTCGCCTCCCGCCACCCTCCACCCGCCTATTAATTATTGCGAAAATATACGATTTTGTCGCCGCCGCCGCCGCTTCCGAACACGGTCCGACGCGCGCCGTGAAATTCGTTTCACACACAGTACCCGCGGCGTCGTACCCGTAATAACGTTTCACACGTCGTTCCGACATAACAACGTTTCATCGTCGTTCCTGCAACTATAATAATAATAAATAGTAATAATAATAATCTATATAGTGGGCGAGGGTGTGCGTGCGGACACTGTTTTCGCCTGTTACTCGAAACGACAATCACCGAGCTCTTGGCACATTATCAATCGCGATCCGGTGTCCCGTGAAAAATATACTATATATACTATTAAAAAGTATTTAAAGCACACAGCGCGAACGACAAACTATATTAGCACCCCACTACCCCTACACACACACACACACACACACACACACTGCAGCGTGATGGTAGGTTAAACATTATTATATTCGAATATTGCTATTCGGTAGCAGGTCATATGGTAGGGACGACAGAATGGAATAAATCGTTGAGTAATAATGTAACCTTATGTCCTAAAAGCTTATTCGACCTAAAACGTGCAAGACGCTCGACA